GGGAGAAGGGTGACACACCTCAGGGAGAAGGATGACACACCTCAGGGAGAAGGGTGACACACCTCACGGAGAAGGATGACACACCTCAGGGAGAAGGATGACACACCTCAGGGAGAAGGATGACACACCTCAGGGAGAAGGATGACACACCTCACAGAGAAGGATGACACACCTCAGGGAGAAGGATGACACACCTCAGGGAGAAGGATGACACACCTCAGGGAGAAGGATGACACACCTCAGGGAGAAGGATGACACACCTCAGGGATGAACTTTTCGCTAGGTTTACTTACCTTTATGTTGATTGGATAGTAAGGTAGCTATGGTATTTTGGACGTCTTGTGGCAGAGGAATACTGACACTTAGAACATCAACACTTTTCTTTTGCATCTGAATGAACTGCTTGATGAAAATCATGGTCTCGGCTTGTTTCTTGTCGAAGATTTTGTTGACAAGAGAAACCTACAGAATGAGAGATGCATTTTAATATGCCGAGTGCCGAATAGAGGAAAACGGAAATAATGTATTGGTAAGTAACTTGAACAACGTGTAAGAAGTCATTGTCTTAAGGAGGTTCGAAATTGTCCTTTTGAGTGTGCACGCAACAAAGACTTTGATAAACTCTTTAGAAAAAGACTGCGATGTATTTGAAAAAGCTGTACAATTATCTGTATTTGTTCATCACAATGAAGAGTTCATATGCCCGTTGAAAATGTAGGCATTTCAAAAATACAAAATCATGCAAGTGCACTAAATATCAACAAACATAAGCTTAGACAATTTTTTAGACACTTGTCATTTACGACAGATGCCAAACTTGGTTCAAAGCCATCAATGTAGCTACACGCCAGTCGGACATAGTGCAGTTTTCGTGTGACTGTGAAAGATTCACGGCACGAGCACGGTCATGACAAGGCAAGGGATACGCCAGACCAATCACATTGCACGAGAATTTACTCTCCATCCAATCACATACACTCGGAACACGGCATAAACCAAGGGAGCACGTTAAAATTGTGATTGTGTTGGTTTATCTTCGATTTTATCGCACGTATTCTAAGATATAGCAAGCGTTCCTTGTAGTTCTTGTTTACGCGCGCGCGCTACACTTCATGGCAGGCGTTCCTTGCTTTAGTCGGGCTAGCGAAATTACTCCGAAAAACCGACGAATATTTTGCGAGGAGCGGAGCGACGTATTACACTATTACACTTGTCATTCCCTTCCTTATACGATCGTAAGCCATTCGGATCGGCCGAAACCAAAACACTACGAGGAATGCCTGTCACAAGATGGATTGCGCGCTAGATAGATCAACCAAGAACAATGACCTTCCTTACACAAACAAAATTTTAATGTGCTCCCTTGCATAAACACGGCGCGGACACGGTCACGCCAAGGTCACGAACAATCACATTGCGCGTGAAAAAATCAGCCAATTAAGCATCACGGTCACGGCACGTCACGCTTACGGCACTGAACTTTTCACAGTCATACGAAAACTGCTCTCGTAGCAAGCAGTAGCCCGAGTTAACGCCTAAGAGGCGTCTAGTTACCGTTTTGGAACTTGGTCCTTCGTGGGAGTAAAGATGAAGGAAAACGTCAGTTGAAGAAGCATATATTTTTAATCAATCGGTTTTCAATTACTTCACTCCGAATCAAAATATGGAGACCAATTTGAATAAATATTGTTTTACACTGACTAGCGACTGACTAGCTTCGTGTTCACGTGAAAACATGAAAGAGTTTTCACATGCATGAAAGACTAGTCAGTGCAGAATAGCTATTCAAATTGGTCGCCATTTTTCACTTCGATGTATATCAGCACTAGTTTACTCGCTAGTTTTGTTTTTAATCTTCTTACCTCAACATATTTTTCCAGATCAGGGAATTTTTCAAGGGTTTTCCTCACAGCAGATAAAACAATAGTTTTGAGCTCTTTTTCCACATCTTCTACAAGCTTTTGACAGACTGAAGTGAGCTTGTCGATTGGGCTGGGTAACACGTGCTTACCAAAAGCTAATGATCGAGCTTCAGGGGTAAAACAGAGATAAGTAATTATATAGCTTAGAATATAGCCGAGAGGACATTGGGAGATCATTTGGATTGTTAGCTGCAGCAGGGATTGACATAACACCAAACAAGAAAGAATCCAACATGTTCTTGTTGGGTGGCGTAATAATTCAAATATTTGACTCCTTCTTCAACCTTAATAGCGCAGCGCAACCGTGACGTCATAAAAACGAAGACAAGGGCGAAATTCGGACAAACAAACTTACAAGTTTACTTTCAGCAGATAATTTTCACAGCCGATCGCAGTTGATCTTAGTTTACACGGGTTATTATTGTAACTTTAAGTAAAAATAATAAAATCGGTTCGTATAATCCTCGTAGTGGTTAAACAGAATGCAATGTTTGTCCGAATCTTTAAGCTATTTTTAGAATCAGCGCGCTGCGCTATTAAAATACCTGTTAACGATCATGGCTTTCGGACAAACTAGTCCATCTATGGAAGTGAATGGAAGTCTGATAATGAAGTGAGGTGCTACACCTTTGAATTGATGGAGTACACTYATAAGACGAGAACTCATTCTGCGCCAGCTGATTGGATAACATCCCGCTGATTAAAACGTTGGAGTTACGCAGGCCCATGACCATTTCCAAGGTGTCAGCCTCCAGCTCTAATTTCGCTCCATGTAAGGGAATCCGGACTTATGGTGGACTACGGCGGGATTCCRAGCGCTGGATTCCGGATTCCGAGACTCTGGATTACGGATTCCAAGGGTCTGGATTCGGAATTCCAAAACTTTTGCATTGCGGAATCCGAATTCCCTATCGTTAATTTTCAGATACTTTCTCTGAAAATCATATTTGATATACTTGCCAGTATAACTAGGGAGGTGTCCCTGGTATATATAACTAGCGTGATAAAAAACAATTGACAATAGCGCATACCTTAAGTTTCAGACACTATAACGTATTGCAAACAGCCCACTCCTCCCTTTTGAATTCATTTGTCCCATAACCTCTAATATTAAACGACAATTTCCTGATCTAAATTTTGATTTAATTATTGTTAAAGCGCGCCGGATTCCAAGGCCTGGATTCCGGATTCCAAGGCCTGGATTCCGGATTCCAAGGCCTGGATTCCGGATTCCAAAGCCCAAAATTTCGTGGATTTCGGATTCCCTTACATGGGGCGACTAATTATTCCTGAAGATGGACTATTTAGTCCAAAAGCCAAGATCGAAAATATTCATTAATATTTTAATGTTGAAAAAGCAGTCAAATATTAAGTTTTTAAGCAGCAAAGACGTTTCATACTCACGTGAACCCTCCTTGTGAAAGTCTTCGTACAGCAGCCTCTCAAGCAGCTGATTATTTTCACTGCTGTCACCAAGAGGAGCTGCTGCACCCTCGAGCTTTCGAAGAAGTTTAACAATCTCCTCGTCAGTCCGATCAGCCAGGGGATTTACTTGGAGAATTTCGCTATTGAACTCCAAGATACGATTTCGCACCTTCTCTCCTCCGGCAAAGTTTGTCGTGTTGTTAAAGAGCAGTGTATTCAGCGTGTCAATTAGGTTGTATTGGATTTTCGCCATCAGTTCGCCTTTGCCTTCACTGGTGACAGGTACGGCTGATTGAGAGAGGCCTTTCAATTCTTCTTCGAGCTGTTATTTTATAAAGCATGTTAGATATTAAAACGCGAAATGTTTTCCTGTGGCGCGCTCTCAATTTGGTCCGTGAAATGGGCCCTCTTTTTGCAAGCCAAATTAACGTGATTGCGCGCGGTCCATTTTGAGCATTTTAGATCCACAATCCCGTTTTAAACTTACTTCAGTTTTTGTGGCTTCCATTTGCTTTATGAGTAACGGTATTTCAACAATCATCTTGTCTGAGAGCAGTTTGATCATAGTCTCCATGAGGCGATCAATCCCACAGATATGGAGGAGGTCTGAGTACTGTTTGTGCCTGGCAAACCATTCTTTCTCGTAAACTCGCGTTTCCTCTGCATTCCAGAGGGACTCTTTTGGATCTGTGCCATCCTTTCCTACAGAAAAAAAGAGTAATCGTTGATACATGACAGTGCTTGTCAATTAGAATATGYGGAATCGTACAATTTGCCATTGCAATCAAATAGGATTTTGTTGAACGTCAATCAAAGTTTTTGAAGATATATACACCTTAAGGACGGTGCCTACTATTGTCCACGCGCACACGTACTGCGTATCTACATTCGAGGAATTTCAAAATTTATTACTCGAATTGCACGAAACAAAGCGTTTATTTTCAATAAAAGTTAAAGCAGAAAACGATCTTAAGTAACSCAGGCTTGTTAAAGAGATAATTTGCTAAGGTTTAAGTATTATTGACAAAGAATCATAAGTTCTTTTGGGCAAGTTTTGAAAAAATGGCAGACTCGTAGCTCTAAAAAACCAAATCCTTTCAATAATAAAGCTTTTTACCGTTTCTTTAGATTTAATCCTATAAAACTTGAATAAAAACAAACAAGAAATACATATGAAATTGAAAATTTACCATTTATTAATATCTAGGTGTGTAATTATAGTTTTGAAAATCTTTTTTGGGTCGCTAAACACTTTCATCATGAAATTCTTTTACTTTGGAGTTCTCAATCTAAAAWAYCATCTTATTACGTACCAAATATTTCAGAAATTCCTTTCTGCTGTTAAGTAAAGAGTSGATAATAACTTCACCTCAAACCCAATAGTCTTCCTGGAACTATAAAGCTTATAAATATCGAGTTTTTCTCTGTGTTTTTTGCTTGCATGGCAGGAAACAGCATGTTTAGCTTGACGTGCAAACGCGCCAAAAACAGAGTTTGTCACGCCGTTTTGTATGCTGTGTAACGCTTGTCACGCATTCGGCATAAGATTTATCCCTAATAATGTTCTTTAAAAATTCGTATCTCTTAAAAACGCCTGGATACCCCTATTTTTTCTTCGTTTAAATGATAGAGTAAATGCTAAATTAGCCTCGTAAAATGAAATTTATAAAAAATAATTGGTTTTGAAAAGAATATGGACACAATCTTTATGTACCTACTGATCGAAAATAGGGAGCACGAAGCTAATAAATTATATATATTATAGCCAAGTATAAAATTCATGGTAGAATTGGGTATATTTTAGTAAAGAAACAAAGTGTCAGTCATTTAGGACGATTTAAATTAGAAATTTTTCAAAATCTTTCGAATTTTTTTTTTTCCTGGTGTTAGTAAAATCATGACGTCATCACTTTTTAACGATTTTTAAGCCTTGTTATTTCTTTTAAATGCATGGTGACCCCTACTTTTCTAACCAGAATTTGACAACCCTTTGATAGGTTAAAATAATTCACATAGTCATTTAAAAAAATAATTGATTCTCAATTAGTAGGCACCGTCCTTAAGACATGCAGCTTTTTAAGTACCTCTTAACAAGATAAAATGGTTGTCCTCAAGTGTAAAGTGCGATTGATTCAATGCCACTTTGCGTCCTATGTCATCAGATTCGTTGTGTTTGTCTGGTTTGGTCAGAACGCAAATAGTGCGAGCTTTGTAGTCTTCTGCGTGTTTCATGACCAAGTTGATGGCTCCGTCACCAGTGGGATCTCCGACCTAAAACACAACATACACACGCACGAGAAGTGTGAAGGTCACGCAACTCCTGAAGTGTCACGCAAGGGCTAAAAATTCACACAGTGCATTTGTCACGAACACCTAAGATACAACACACGCACGAGGTGTGAAAGTCACGCAACTCCTGAAGTGTCACGCAAGGGCTAAAAATTTACACAGTGCGTTTGTCACGAACACCTAAGATACAACACACGCACGAGGTGTGAAAGTCACGCAACTCCTGAAGTGTCACGCAAGAGCTAAAGCATTTCTCACGAACACCTAAGAAACCACGTACACACGAGTACTGCAAAAAAATCTAAACGAAGAAAGTGCTAAAGACAAAAGTCACGCAATACATTAGTCACAAACTCGCGGCTCTCGACACACAAAAAAGTTGAAAGATAACGTTAAGGATTAATTTTTGTCGACTTTTCCAGGTTTACACCCTATTCATCTCAGTGTTAAATAGTTAAATATTTACCTGGGATACAATGACGATAATGCTCTTTTTGTTCTTCTTGATGTAATCAAGCACTAAATCTTGAGTTACTTTGTTCATCCTGTCGTTGTCATTGGCGAAATGCACGCCGGGAAGGTCTACCAAAGTAAGGGGACTGAGGCCAGGTCCTGGAACACAAAATGATTATTAAATGAAATCCTTCCCTCTATAATGTGTTTCACTAGTTCCCCTCCCCCCTTCACTCCCATCCACCCCCCCCNGGTTTTTCCTATGGCCTTTCTAATCAATTAGGCTTTGAGCTTTCTAGTTTATATAACTTTCCATTTTTTTAGTGCAATTGGAGTGAAATCTTTTCCCTCCTAATAATCACCTCCTTACAATAATGTATTTCATCATATCATATATTTTAACTTAACTTTAGTAAATCATCTAATGCGCATTCACTCGATCATATTTAGAATGTTAGAATGCGCAATATCAAGTATTAAATATTATTATTTACAGTCATTTGCAGAGACTTTTGTTAACGTCTGATAGTTTCGTTTCCTGTCACGGTCTATGCTAGCACAAACGTGACAAAACTTCAAGTTGCATTTTTTCATGATCAAGCAGTACTTTTTATACATCAAGTTGATTTTCATTACACAAAGACCCTTGTGTTCTATGTCTAGTCATTTGTTTCGCTTGTCTAGTCATTTGTTTTTGATATCAAGTGCAATGTTTAAGTTGACAAGCAGCCATCGCAATCAAAAGTCATTTAGGTCTTTGCGATTTGCATACAAAAGGGAACGCTAGAACCACTCAGGAGAAGATTGATTTCSATCAGCTTGCGATCGATGAACGCGCTAGGTCTGGAAGCTAGTTGCAGGGCGGGAGGAGGGAGGGCGTTGAAACGGGCATGGGCACTACTCTGCCTGTCAATAATGGCGGACCGTTTGTGGTGGAAGTTCGGCTGACAAGAAGATCTTTCAAAAGTAAATTTAGGCTTGTTTATCTTTGTTTTTAGCCAATAAAACAATTGTATTGGTGTTAGAGAACACCCAAAACATGATAAGAGTTTTCATTACGAAGAATTCGCTAGTTTTTGTACTCAAAGAACCATTTTTCGTGGTGTTTACGCTAGATTTGATATAGCAAATGCGGGCGCAGGGCTTTTTTGGCTTTATTACAATGTTTTCCAAAACCTAGTTTATATTTTTTTGAAATGTTTATATAGTGTTCTACTTATGTGAAAAAAATCAGACTGAGCAAATTTGAGCAAGATTGGTTTTTTGACATCTCAAATGTATACTAGCAACTGCTAGTATGATAGTGTCATCCAATGGACGTTCACTTAGAATGAGCAATGGCTAACAGCCAATCAACAGCAATTATATATTATCGCGCAATTTGCGGGGGGTCCAGAACAAGCTTTCTGGCGATGTTTCGCAGACGGTATTTACGAAGAAAATTCCGGATGTGACGCAGGCTACGCTGCTTTCACGCAAAACAACAGACAAAATCTCAGCTACTTTGATTGACGTGCCGAGCCATCATGGGTCCCTTTTGTTGTAATTTTCAAAAGCATAGTCTATCACTACTGAATAGTAAACTAACTGACAGATGCCCCACCATTTGGGAAGAATTTTATAGTAAATAGCAATAAAAAGCCCAGCCCCTGGGGCTACTGAATTTATTTGGCTTGGCAAAATATTTTCATAGCGAGTTGTTTCTATAAGAAAGTAAAATGCTGCGACAATGGCACCACATACCTTTGGCAGGGATGGCAAAATGTATCCCCACCAAATCCCCGTCTTATCCCGGTGCGGGGGAAGGGGGGGTCGGGGTCGGGGTTTAAGTG